GTGGGTGGATGGATGGATGGACGGACAGATGGAGAAATGGATGGATGGATTGATGGATGGATGGACGGATGGATGGATGGACGGACGGACGAGAGGATAGATGGATGGGAGGATGGATGGATGGATGGGTGGGTGAATGGACAGACCAATGGATGGATGGATGGATGCGCCGATGAACAGATGGATGGATGGGTGGACGGACGAATGGACGGATGGATGGCCCATCCGCTGAGTGTATCTCTTCTTCGTTTCTTGAAGCAAATTCACAGGCAATTTCTTCTACAACTACATGATGGGCATCGAGTTTAACCCCCGGATCGGGAAGTGGTTTGACTTCAAGCTGTTCTTCAACGGCCGCCCCGGGATCGTGGCCTGGACCCTCATCAACCTGTCCTTCGCGGCAAAGCAGCGAGAGCTCCACGGCCACGTGACCAACTCCATGGTCCTGGTCAACGTCCTGCAGGTACCGGTTGTGGCCAGGGAGGGTGGAGGCACTGACACCTTCCAGTCGAGGGTTTCCTGGGGACCTTAACCCACTGCTTTTATTTGATATTTATTTTCGAGACAAGGTCTTATTCTGCCCAGGCTGGAGTGCAGTGGCATGATCGCGGCTCACCGCAGCCTCGACCTCCTGGGCTCAGGTGATCCTCCTGCCTCAGCCTCCTGAATAGCTGAAAGTACAAGTGTGTACTACCACACCTGACTACTTTTTTTTTTTAATTTTTTTTTTGTAGTGATAAGGTTTTGCTGTGTTGCCCAGACTGGTCTCAAACTTCCAGGACTCAAGCAATCCTCCTTCCTCAGCCTCCTAAAGTGCTGGGATACTGGCATGAGCCACCACATCTAGCCAACCCACCACTTTTTTTTGTGTGTGTTGGAGTCTCACTCTGTTACCCAGACTGGAGTGCAGTGGCCACTCCCGGCCACCGCAGCCTCGACCTGCTGGGCTCCGGCGATCCTTCCGCCTCAGCCTTCCAAGTAGCTGGAATTGCAGGTGCGTGCTACCACATCTGGCTAGATTTTTTATTTATTGTAGAGATGAAGTCTCGCCAAGTTGCCCAGGCGGGTCTCGAACCCACGGACTCAGGCAATCCACTCAGCTCGGCCTCCCAAAGCGCGGGATTACAGGCTGAGCCACTGAGCCCGGGCAGGCACAGTGGTTTGCACCTATAATCCCAGCATTATGGGGAGGCTGAGGCAGGAGGATCACTTGAGGCCAGGAGTTTGAGACCAGCCTGAGCAACATAGCCAGACCCTGTCTACAAAATTTTAAAAATTAGCTGTGCTTGATGGCATGCGCCTGTAGTCTCAGCTACTTGGGAAGCTGAGGCAGGGGGTTCACTTGAGCCCAGGAGTTGGAGGCTGCAGTGAACTACAATTGCACCCCTGCACTCCAGGCTGGGTGACAGAGTGAGACTCCGACTTGAAAAAAAAATAAGAGACAGCGTTTGTACCCCTCTCCAAAAGTCACTGCACGTGGGCCAGCAAGCATGTCAGGAAAGAATCGGTCATTTCTGTACCAGCCCTGGGGGAGGCAGGGCAGTGCAGCCCAGCCTGGTCTGGGATTCCTCCTGGGTGGGATCTGGAGACGAGGGGGTGGTCCAGGAGAGAGGATCCACCTGGGCAAAGTCCCAGCGGTAGGAGAGGAGGGCGAGTCTGGGAAACTGAGGAGAACCCTGGCCCTGAGCAGAGACCGCATGGGAACTCAGAGCCTGGTGAGGCTGAGCTGGATGGGGCCATGCATTTGGCCTCCAGGGGCCTCGTGGTAGATCCCGTGTTTATCTCAGAAGAGTGAGGACATGGAGTGTGTGTAAGCGAGGCGGAGGGGGCAGGGGTTGGGTGCATTTAGAAGGGTCACAGGGGCCGGGCTTGGTTGCTCAGCCTGTCACCCCAGCACTTTGGGAGTCTGAGGCGAGTGGATTACCTGAGCCCGTAAGTTCGAGACCTGCCTGGGCAACTTGGCGAGACCTCCTCTCTACAATAAATCAAAAATTAGCCGGGCGTGGTAGCACGCACCTGTAGTTCCAGCTACTTGGAAGGCTGAGGTGGAAGGATCGCCGGAGCCCAGCAGGTCAAGGGTGGAAGCTGCAGTGGCTGGGAGTGTGCCACTGCACTCCAGCCTGGGTGAGGGAGTGAGACTCCAACTCAAAAAAAAAATGGTCCTGGGGAGCCAAGTGAGCACTGACTGGAAGGGCCCAGGGGGTAAGGGAGTGCCAGGTCAGGTCCTAGGAACCTGGGCTGGATGAGACGCCAAGGCCTTGGGGAGACAGAGGACAAAGACTCCCTTTCCCCTCCGAGTCCCAAGCATGTAGGGAACACCCAGGTGCCCACTGAGGAAGTCGCTCAGCAGAGACCCGCCCGCCTCCACCTGGGCCTGGGGTCAGCGGCTGCTCTTGTCCACAGGCCATCTACGTGCTGGACTTCTTCTGGAACGAAGCCTGGTACTTAAAGACCATTGACATCTGCCATGACCACTTTGGGTGGTACCTGGGCTGGGGCGACTGCGTCTGGCTGCCATATTTGTACACGCTGCAGGTGAGGGGGCTGCCCGCGGGACTGGGCAGAAACGGCACCGCACGCTGAGCTTTGCTCCTGGCAGATGTGCCCGTCCTACGGGGAAGCCGCTCCCTGTGTCCGCCAGCTCGGCAGTCACAGGGACCCGGCAGGCACCGGGGTGGGCCACCAGCCAGGAGATGGCCCGGAGCGCCCCAGGCATCCCTGCCGAGTCAGGCCAGGTGGGGTCTTGGAGGCGGGAGGTGGGCTGTGTCTTTGTGCGGCACAGCCAGGAGGTGTGGGGCCTGTGCCAGGGCTGTGTGGGGGTTCTGAGGCCCTGGGGGCGGCAAGAGGCCCGGTCATCGTCATTGGGTCCCCACCTCCTCCCGGCTCTATGCCGTGCTGGGTGCCCGTGTAGGATGACCTTTGACATGGAAGGTGCTGGGTGCCCGGATAGGGTAATCTTTGACCTGGGAGTGCCCTGGGTGTCTGTGTAGGGTGACCTTTCACCCAGAGGTGTGCTGGGCGCTGTGTAAGTTGACTTTTGACCTGGGGTATGCTGGGTGGTCACGGGGGAACCCTGCACCGTTGCCACCTGCTAGTCTCATGAGTGAGGAAGTCCTGGGGACAGAAAGGACTCACCCAGGGTCTCACTGTGTTGCCCAGGGTGGAGTGCAGTGGCACGTTCATGGCTACCACACCCTTGACCTTCCGGGCTCAGGCGATCCTCCTGCCTCAGCGTCCCAAGTAGCTGGAGCTACAGGCACCCACCACCACGCCCAGCTAATTAGTTTTTTTTTTTTCTGTAGAGATGAGGTCTCCCTCTGTTGGTCCAGGCTGGTCTTGAACCCCTAGGCTCGGGCAGTTCTCGTACCTCGGCCTCCCAAAGTGCTAGGATTACAGGCATGAGCCACCATGCCTGGCCTCAAATCTCATTTTTTATGTTGTCATGTATTTTATACGGCTACAACGGTCATGTCTTTTATACTACTACTACATGGACATATGTATGTATGTATGTCCATACAAGTTGGTGGCTGCAGCCAGGCTCGGTGGCTCAGCCTGTAATCCCAGGCTTTGGGAGGCTGAGGTGAGTGGATTACCTGAGCCCACGGGTTCAAGACCCACCTGGGC